TAATTTAAAATATTAATGCATAAATATCAAATATCATATTTATTCATTTATTTGATTTAGCAATGTGAGTTCTAATTTGTTTAAGTGTAGCTGGGAAACTTGCAAGAGACCATAGACCATAAGCTAAGCACTTGTCCTGCCATAAAAGGCTCGAAAAAAATATAATACAAATAAAGAAAAAGAAAAAATAGCAAAACGTGCGCCGTATAATAATCTCTTTATTTTTTCAATCACGTCAAGTTAATAGAAGAAAAGAATGTTTAAGTAAAATACTTTTTTATATACAAGATGCAAGAAAATGTTATAGGGTACTTTCAAGTCGTGCGCTTTCAATCGAATCGTTCTTGATTTTTTTTTTTTTTTTTTTTTTTTTTTAATAACTTTTTTTATGCAACGACGACATCGGCGATTGCGCCGAGTGTCGCTGTCGTGTCTGGCGATTGTTTTAAATTTTTATCAATGTCTGTGAGTGTGTGAGTGAGTGTGTATATGCCAATTGTGTTTATATGAAACAAACGGTTTTTTTGTTGTTGCGAGATTCATTAAAATTCCTAGAAACTCGACCACTTCGAATGTTCTCTAATTACAAACGATTGCAGTGTGGCAACAACATAAAACGAATTGTTGCAATAGTTTTTTGTTGCAGTTTAATTTTCATGTATTTTTATTTTTTATTTTTGCATTGCCAAACAAAAGCAGCAATCAAACACACACACATACACACTGAGAGGCATTCGTATAAGCTCACAGAAGAGTCAATCAAAATAATTACAGCAGCAACAAGAATCCAATTGGATAAAGAACCAGTGAGAACAAAAACTCAAATAATAAATGTCAATTGAGCACGCGTTGCTYGCTTGCCGTAGCCTGATGTACATATATGCTGTTATTTGCCACTGGATTACTGTCATTGTTGTTGCTGTTGCTAAGTGCATTTGATAATTTACTGCTAATTATCACTCACGCACAATCAAATGTAAATTAGAAGGAAGACAGAGTGAGAGACAGAGAGAAACGATACACAGAATTGATGCAGTGTGTGTGTGAGTGCTAATTATACAAGCACTTGCACACACACACACACACACACACTTGCACACGAAACGATTGAGTGAGTTGCACAGTGGTGCGTAGGCTGATGAACAATGATGAACCCACACTGGCAGGAAATCTATTTGCATTGGCCTCCAATTGCGCTTTTATGCTTTGTTTTGCTAATTTGAAATTTATTCTAATGAATTGTCACTGTTGTTTCACATGCAAATATATAGAAATATACACATCTGTGTTAGCAAGAAGAATTAAAATAACTGACTTTAAGTTTCGGTAGTTGCTTTTAATAGTTAATCGAATATTCACCGTTCTTCGTTAAATATACGTATGTATGTAGATAATCTGTGCATTGGTTCCCAGAATTTTTACGTTTTTATTTTATTTGCTTTAAAGCTGACAAGCTGTTGCGGCTTTTGTTTTCAGCACAATATTATGCGAAAATTGTAAAACGAAAAAATAATAATGGGAGACAACAACAAATGGACAAAAATTAGTATTGTTACTATAATTTGTATGTTAATAAAACACGGACAATCGCAACAACAATAATAATAACAATAGATTAGTTAGAACACCAAAATCGCTATTTTTCGGTCTCAGTCTCTCTCTCTCTCTCTCTCTCTCTCTCTCTCTCTCTATGGCCTGACCAGCTACAACACAAAGCAGATGCACTATGGTCACTCTATTTTATCCAGCATGAGTGAGCAGACGAGCGTGAGAGAGTGCGAGAGTATCACTATTTACGCCTGCCTATGCGTGTTTGTGTGTGTGTCGCAACGTAGAAATGAATGAAGCGAACGCTGTCGACGTCGCTGCCGCTGCCTGTCGTAATAGCAAGTGCAAGTTCCTATGCTTATGTGTGTGTGTGAGAATATTTTCGCGTGTGGAAAAACAAAGAATGAAGAAATTTTCCAATTGGCAAATATACAATACAAGCCCGACCATTAAGAGAGAATAACACAGAGAGAGAGCTGGCGCAAGAGAGACAATTTTGACTGAGCATTTTGCTTACCGTTTGGCTTATTGACGTAGGCGTCCGTCTGCTGCTGCTTCTGCTGGCTGCGTACACTTATGTTAGTCTGTATTTGTGTGTGTGGTTTTCGTTTTCCTTCTTTTTTTTATATTCTATTTCACTCTTGTTATTAATTCTGCCCAGGGGCTGCGAACGTTGTGGGTTTTGTTATGCAAAATGATAGAGAATCATTTTTTTATTTTTGCGTTTTCTATAAATATTTAGAAATTATTTAACTTTGCTTCAGGTGCTCCCGCTGCCACTGCAAATCTGCGCGAACACACTGCTGTACAGTTATAATAAATAAAAATATGTACTAGGCGTGACAGTTTGTTTATTTATAATTTAAAACTGGATGGAGAGGTTCAGCACATATATGATATTTGTATTTTTTATTTTTATTTGTTTGACTGCGCCGCGCTGCTCGCGTAAACAGCAAAACAACACGACTGCGACTGACGCAGCGACGACCACTTTACCGTGAAAAATTTTCATTCATTCAGGAAAATTGAAGTGAGCGAACGAACGAACGAGCCAACCAGGCGAAATAGCGAGCGAGTGAGCAAGTGAGAGAGAGAGGAACGACCACGACACGCAGCATGGCTACATGTGACAGTATTTGTTTGTGCGCGTGTGTGTGTGTGTCTGTTTGTGTTTGCGCTCGCTAACCGTGTTGCCAACTCAGCAGCGCTCACAAAATGCTCCCAAAACGAGGCACAAACATTTAACATGCAATTTATATCAGAATTAAATGTTATTCTTCTTATTCGTTTATACGCCAAGCGGCAAGCGGTACTCTCCTCCAAACCCAACACTCACACTCGCACGCACACATTCACGCACATAGTGAGTGGGAGATAGACTCTTCACTCTAGCCATTAAACAGACGGCGCGTCGACACTGGCAGCGGCACGTGTATGTGAAACGTAGATGTGTGTGCGTGTGTTTATCGTTTGCTTTAATTTTTCTCTCTCGCTCTCTTACACGCTCATTTCGTTTTTGCTGCTTCGATTCGATTTTCTTATTGTTGTTGTTGTTATTATTTAAATTACTTATTAATTCAATATTCTGCGATTACCCACTGCATTAAATAACTTGTCGTTAGCTGTTTTTGCTCAATAGGAGAGTAAATTCACACACATACTCATACAGGCACCACCGCAATATTATATTTTCTTGTTGCTACATTTTTCACTATAATTCTGCTTTCATGTTGCGTTTTAATGTTCGTATTCTTTACACTCGCACGATACTGTTGCTGATATGTACATACTTTGCTATGTATGTATGCATATACATATGTATTTTGAGTTGCCAAGTGTTAGCACAAAACTCAATTGTTGCTAACTACCACACACATACGTATGTTCACACCACGGATGTCTCTAGCAAACTGAATCGCAGTGGCAACTCTAAGCCGACGTCATGTAAGAAACAAGAAACCGAACTGAAAATACCAAAAACGCGTCAGAATATACTAAATGCATAAATATTTAACGTAGCCCTGGAATATCTAAAAATATTGAGTATATTATTGAAATTTAATTAACAACGCAAAATTAAAGTTTTAAATTAAATGTTATAATTAAAGGTATGCTATGGAACGTCAAAAATAATGTTAATAAACTGTTTTGTCTGGCAATGAAATAGAAAATGAAATGTGGCAACGCTGACAAATCAAATATTCTGGCGGCATATTTAAATGTACGCATATTTAAGAATTTTTGTATTATTTGTGCATATTTAAATTATATTTTACATCAGGAAATTCTAGTTCGAATTTCTGTTTGATTATTTATATGATAATTGTGGAATAAGATATATTTAAATGGCAGCTCGTTAGGTAGAAAAAGTATGACCGCTTGCCGAAGCTCGAAGTTGAAAAGCTTTTAACCGACATCAATTCAAATAGTTTTTGTTTTTCCTAATGGAAATTGAATACTATTTGTATTTGTAATTATTGCTAAAAGTAATTTGAAAAATGCTATATTATATTTGTCATTTTAATTTGAAATTAGAAAATATTAAATAAACAATATACGGAAGAACCGTTCTAGCTTTCTATCAATGTCTGTCTTAGTTTCATTTATAATATATGGCACCAGGCACACCTCCTTCTGCTTCTTACAATCATTTGGATTAGAAAAATATACCCTGTAATAAAATGTGCAGGGTATAAAAAAAAAAATGCTTAACAATCAAGAGCTACGCATTCGGGTGTAATCGACTGACATAATATCCACTGAAGTCCCGAAGAAGAAAAGTTTAAAAAAAATCATCTGTGAAATATTCATTTGGACTCTGTGAGCGGGTATAAAAACAGATTCAACTCATCTAGACGACAACAATTGCTTAATACTTTTCTTTTAAGAAAACTTTTTGATCTTCTGTCTGGGATGAATTGAACTTCGTCGTCGGCTTACCTATATATATATATATATATATATTTGTATATGTTACACATGATATCGGGCATATCGGGTGTGGTTGGTGCAAAAGACATTCATCACATTTGCGGGCAAAAGTTTTTAGATATTTTTAAACCACTTAGGCGACCCACGCAGCTGCTGCCTTCTATTGTACTTTATGCTTCAGCTCGACATAAATTGCGCATACGTCATGTAAGCCGTAGGAGAATACACAATTTTACACCTTATGTGCATTGTTGTTGTTGTTGTTGTGAAACTTTTGACTTTTATGCGGGCGGCAAAGTCAGTGCAAAAGAAAAAAAAATCGCAGCTATTAGATGTAAAATTTAATGACTCGCATCGAGTAAATTGAACGCGTGAAGTTGTTGAAAAATATGTTGAGCACAATTAATTAAATTAAAATTATGTGCTGCAAATTACAGCAGACATCTGTGCAGGGGAAATGTGTTTATGTTACGTTGTTATATTTAATATTGAAAAATTAATACTGATAAAATTAAAGTATTCAAGTATTTAATATCTGAATATAATCAAAAATAATTCAATATTTATGACGAAGTGACTGTTAAATATTAAAATAT